TGGGACTGGCTTGAGAGGTGGAAGGCCAGATGTTGGAGATGGAACTGGGTCGGCCTGTAAAAAACCCTCCCCTCAACATCTCTCTTCCCTGGAGGCTTCTGAGTGAAGAACAGCGGTGAGCTTCCGGGTTGAGGAGGGGCAAGGGTGGCCACCAGATGCCTTATCTTCCACCCTGCCTGCTAGCTGTCCCTAAGTGCCTCTTTCTGTGGTGTTATTTCTGGTCTTAGGTATATGAATAAACAGGTCAGGTTACATTACCTTGTGATCCCCAAAAGGGCCTTTGGAGGTCCCTTCAAATAAACAACTTGCTGACAGAGTACACCACAGCCAGTAGCAGCAGCAGCTTAATCAGGTGAGACCAGCACTGGGGACCACCTTGCTTAACCCACTCTCAAAGAGGACTGACCCAACAGAGGATGTGTTGTGTCCTGCAAGGAGCTAGTCTAACAAGGAAGGGAATGACTCATCTGTTTGCTGTGCTACGCCCAGGAGTGAACTTCAAGACTGAGAGAGGAGAAAAGGACTCCTAGGTTCAGGCAGTACTCCTGGACCACAAAGTTCCCTAAACAGTCACCCCGCTAACTTTGTTAAAGCACACTCTCCCAGTGACTGAGTGTATGCAGAGAGGGGAAAGCACCCTCCCCTCAGCTTGGGGGATAGTGTTTTGTAACTTCTGTCTTTGCAATATCGTTAGTAAATATCTATTTGTAAAAACCCATTTACAGCAACTAAGTGGCACAGTGGATAAAGTGCTGGGCCTGGGGTCAGGAAGACTCAATCTCCTGAGTTCAAATCCAGTCTCAGACACTTACTGTGTGACCCTGAGCAAATCATTTCATCCTATGTTTCCTCAACTGTAAAATGAGCTGGAGAAGGAAATGGCAAACCATTCCAGTACTTTTACCAAGAAAACCCCAAATGGGGTCACAGAGTCAGACATGACTGAAACAACGGAACAATTTTACAGCTGGTTAATCAATACCAGATAGGGGTTTGTGAGTGTTATGGTTTACAAAGCACCTCTAACCAGTGACAGAGTCTTGAGGAGAGAGTCACCAATTACTATCTGGGGATGTCAGATTTAAAAGCTATATGGAAGATAGGAACAATGTGAAGGATGGAGTAGAATGGGGAGATTTGAGACAGCAAAGTCAATTAAGAGACTATTTCAACAGTCCAGGTAAAAGGTAATGGGAGCCTGACCTAGGGTAATGACTGAGAACAGAGAAGGGGAGAAATTCAAGAGAGGATGTTTAGTTTGAATGGACAAGACCTGGCAAGTGATGGGATATGGGAAGTGGGGGGTGAAAGGAAATGAAGATGGTTCCAATGTTACAAATCTAAAGGGAAAGTGGTGACCTTGATGGAAATATAGGAGCTCAGAAAAGGGATGGACTTTAGGGGAAACACAGTGATTATTTTGGATATGCTAAGTTTAAGATGCCTACTAGACATCTGCTGCCTTGTCTTGGGATGCTTCTTAATGGAGAAAAAAGGCTTGCCCATTTGAAGGGTAACTTCTGCCTGGAATGATGTTTATGTGTATTTAAGGCTGAAAACTCCAGAGTCCCCAAATATCCATGTCCTTATCCCCACATAGCTCAATATAGGAGGGGGAGTACACTATCTAGAAAGTGCCCTAGAGCCAGAAACAGCAAGGATATTAGGTTGATGTGACATCCATACCATCTCCACACCCTTCCTTTCGGGGCATTAAGATTTGTAATTCCAAGGACCTTGAAACCTGACAAGAGCAGCTATAACTTACATCCAGGCTCCTACCATTAAGTCACAAAAACTATAAAACTGGCATCACCTCTGATCTTAGTAACATCACTGACTAAACCTGTTTACTATGTATCTGCTATAATTTGGCCTGGAAGTGAGGCAATGTCTTGTTACATTAAGATCACTGGATTTAGAAAAGAAAGGCTATTAGAAACTCAAGTCCACAACTGATGCGGGAATAACCAAACAAGTTATGGCACACTGTATCTACTACTGCTATCTCGTAAGAAAAGATGGACATCCATCCTGAATTCAGAGAAGCTGGAGAAAACTTATTTGAACTGATGGCAGTCAGGTAAGAACTATAAGAAGCAACTACAATATAAATGGAAAGAACAACAAAACATCTGAAGATGAATGCTGTGAAATTATAATGATGAAGTTGGGTCCCAAAGAAAATGTAGGATTCCCTACTTCCTTTGTCGCACAGGTAGGGGGTTACGGGTGTGGAGCACCATCGATAATATCAGACTTTTTTCAACGTGTTGGTCGATTTTGTTCTTTGGTATAAGGAGTGGCTCTCTGGGAAGAGAAGCAGGGATATCCTGGAAAGTGTAGATACAAAAAAGATATCAATAAAGCACATTTAAAAAAATACTCAACATGAGGTCATTTAGCCTGTGCTTGAAGACTGCCAATGAGTGGGAATCCACTTGAGGAAAACCCACTCCACCTTCAGGTAGCTCTGCTTGCCTCTTAATCTTTTCCTGACATCAAGCCCAAGCTTGGCTCTTTGCAGAGTTCATCCATTGTTCCCACACTTCTGCTCTCTGGAGCCAAAAAGAACAAGTGTAATCCTCCTTCCTCGTGACAGCCCTTCAAATATCTGAATATGACTTGCCCGTTTCTCCTGAATCTTTTCTTTTCCAGGAGCAATATCCCCAGTTCCTTCCATCAGTTCTCATGATCTGTACTCTGCGCTCTTCACCATCCTCACTGCCCTCTTCTGGATGCTTTTAAGCTTATCAACATCCTTCCAAAAATATAGTGCTCAGAACTGAACACGATACTCTAGATGAGATCTGAAAGAGGGATGATCTCTCTTCCTCATTCCCAGAAGCTAAGCCTCTCAATGCACCCCAAGAGCCTATCAGGTTTTTGGCTGCTACATTACACTGCTGATTCATGTGTAGCTTTTGGTCTTTACTGCGCTCATCTTGTACCTGCAAAGTTATTTTTTTTAACCTAAATATAAGACCCTGCCTTGATATCTACTGAAGTTCATTTTATTAGATTCTGCCTATTGCTTGTATTGAAGATCTTTCTGGATCCCTCCTGGCTTTTTGTATCCTCTGAAAAGCATGCCATCTAAGTGTCTATACCAGGAAAATCTGAATATTCCTAACACTCAGATTTGATAATGTCACTCCCTGGCTCAAACACCTTCATTGGTCTAACCCCCATCCCCCCACAACCTCTCTTTCGACTACTTTTTCTAATCCATTTTATATTATTCCCTTTGTATCTCTGGTCCTAAAACAGCTGCTTATGCTTAGTATAACACCGAACAAAGGTTTGAGTTGTTATGGGGGGAGAAGGATGGATGAAAAATGGTGATGATGTTTCAAGCCTGAGTGACTGGGAGAATGGTGGGGCCAACTACAAAACTGAGATGTTGGGTCAACTAAGGGCAAGGTTTGAGGAGCAGATATAATATGGACAACTGAAAAGCAATTAAATTGAGAGGTAGTAGGACAACACCACTAGAAAAAGAGTTGGATGACTCAGGTTCACAACTTGCTTCTGCCACTTGAAACCTGTTTACATACCTGTAAAGTGAGGGTAATCATATTTACACTACCAGGTTGTTACAAGGAAAATTCTTTACTAACCATAAGGTGCTATATAAACGTGAGCAATTATTACACCTTCCCTATAGTGCTTCTGTTCAGAAACAAAGTTAATGATGCTTTTAGATTCACATGGTCTTCCGGGCTCTGACTAGGAGTGTCTTAGGACTGCCGACGACATAACCAGGGAGCACAGGATCACAGACCTAGAGCCTGAAGGGATCTTGGAAGTCATTTAGTCTGATCCCCTCATTTTACAGATCAGGAAACTGAGGCCTGGAGAGGATTTGCTTATGGTCACAAGAATAGGAAGTGGTAGAGCTAGGCTTTCTAATTCCAAACCTAAAAAGGTTTTTTCATAGCACTGAGAGGACTGAATTGATCCTGTATCATTTTCTCATTGATCCTACTTACACTCAATTGCTTTTATCCCGTAATTGCTTAAGTTAAGTTTCTTTGTCTCATTTCCTACCTAACCTTAATTACTGAATGGGCATTGCCTCAGTCAAACTGAGACCTGGGAAAGACCTTAGTTTAAAAAGGCCAAGGTCTCCCACTACGTCTGGGGCCATCTCCAGTTTTCCTGATCTATATCTGGCCACTAGACCCAGATGGCTCTGGAGGAGAAAGTGAGGCTGGTGACTTTGCACAGCCCTTTCTCACTTATATCCAATTCACTTGCAAATCATGACATCACCTCCCTGACGTCACGGTCCTCTTTGAGAACGAAGGACAAACAACAGCTGAAGTAATGGCTTTTTGTCTCTGTACTTGGTTCAGAGATTCAGCTAGCCTGTTGGCTAATCTTGCTAATTCTTGCCACAAGGGATTTAACCAACCCTGGGAAATGTGTGTGAATGCAAGGGAGTCAGGCCTAATATATTTACACCACCAAGCTATCCTTCAAGGATGTCTGGTTTGCTGTCTAAATGTCTAGCTTGCTATCTTGCACCTGGACTCAGACAATGAGCACATCTTAATCTCATGAGAGAAAAAGAGGGCTGTTGCTAATCACCATTATTAAACTTCCAATCAATCTTGTTGTTCCCTGTGCCTCAGCTCTGTAACTAACTGATCATGTTGTCCTTAATCTCATGATGTCATCTACCCTGTTCTGTACTTCCCAAAACCTATAAAAGGGGGAGCTGTCCATCTTGTAGGGGTCTTTGACATTAATGGAGGCAAACTATTGACATGCAGTATGCCCCAGCTAATAAACATTATCTTGCACAGAGATTTGCCTCAGTTTACCTTTTTGTTCAATTTTAATCGAGATAACAGGCTCTAGCAGTTTTACTTCGTTTTTGTCTAACTGGATCTTGATCACTGAAGTACTGGTGGGAAAAGAAAACACCCCCATACCCCTCCAGCTGTTACATAACATCCCCCCCAAAAACTTCTCAACTCAATTGTAGGCCTTACTTTTGATGTTATCAAAACCACATTTATTTTAGAAAAGGATGCAAAAAGGATGCACCCAGTGTCCCTGGACTAGATTTGATGACGCCAAAAGTTCCTCATACCTCTAGCACTCCAGAGTTCTATGCCCACTCCCCTCTGCCCAAAATAAAACCAAAAACCCTGAACTTCACACATTATAGATCACTCTTCTATTAGGTTTTACTTTTAAAAAAGAAATGGCAAAGGCAATAGTTCAAAGTACCACTGAGTTTCTCCTCCCTATCCTCTAGCAGATGCAGATACAGCCCCCACCCCCATACTCCTTGGCATCCAGACTGCAGGACAGGCAGCTGCCAGCAGCAGTGTAAACCACTGACATCTGATCTAAGCAGAACTACCCTGTCATCATGGTGGAGAGGGGCTATGCCTGCCGCCCAGGGAAAAGGCAGAGAAGAGTGGAGATGGACCTGGGGGCCAAATCAATGCAGCCTAATGCCCATTCAACTCATGGCACTCATGACTGGCTGGCTCAGGTACCTTCTGCAGATGACCCAGCAGTACACAGGTGTGAGAAAATACACAGGTTTAAGTCTGGTTCTGAAGTGACATTTTTTGTTTTTAGAAAACAAATCTGATTCATGATTCAGGGGAAATGATTAATATTCAGTCTGGATTTGTGATTTAGCAAATCAGTGCAATTCAGGTGGTGCCTGGTTTAGTCTATCACTCTACATAATGAGACTGGAGACAGATGCAGGGGAGTCCAAGCCCTTCTCCTGGGTCTTTGTGTCCTCTGCAGGTTTTGGACCAAAGGAAGCTGAGAGGAAGGGACAGCAGAGCCGGGTTCCAACTCCAGTGGCACATCCAGTGTCTTCCCGAAGGAGAGGCAACAAGGTGGGAGAAAGGACCTTAGATACTCTATTTCCCAGATTCCTTCTGAAGATCTCAGGGATCCCTGTCCTCAGGGAAAAGGAGCCTAAAATTCAGGGTTCAGTCTACGGTACAGCCGGTGGAGATTCAGCTGTTCTCATTAATGGGAGTGTGGCTGCCCCCAAGCAGGCTTTCCCGCTCATGATCCTCAGCTGGGGGCTGACACCAGGGCAGACGGGCCATCAAGGGCTGGTGCAGCCCATTGTAGAGAGCTGTGCCCACCAGGAGGATGAAGAAGCCTAGGATCTGCAGTGGGTGAAAAGTCTCCCAGCCCAGTGCCAGGCTGAGGGCCCAGATGACCACAGTACGGAGGCTGTCCAGTACCATGCGGGTAGTGGCACTCATCTCCTTGGTAACACTGATGCCAGCAAAGTTGAAGAAAGCGATGCTGCTGATGTTGCCCAGCAGTGCGACGATGATCAGTGGCTGCCTGCCCAGCTGGCAGAAGGCATCCAGTGCATCTTCTAACACGCCCCGGGGGTTTCCACTGAAGGCACCAGCAGGGATGTAGTACATGGGCACCAGCAACAAAGTGAGGATCACAAAGCCAAAGAACCCTGGGGAGGAATGAGGGGGCAAGGGAATGAACGTTTTCACAGACTACGCGCTGAGTTCTCAAACTCCAAATGCATGTGGGCACACGCGAGATCTTTCACTAAGTAACACTCCAGAAGAACTTGGGGTCTCAGGCCTCAAAATCTCTCCGATTCGTCACTGCAACTAGGTTCTCATCACTTTTCACTGGGTTCACAGCAGCTTTATCACTGGTTTCATCACTGAACACTCCACACTCCTTTCAGTGTCCCCCCACTGTGATTCCTGTTGCTCCTCTCACCCAGATAAAGCTCCTCAAAGTACCATTTTGCTTTATTCTACTTCCTGGCTCAAAAATCTTTTGTGGCTCCCCAGTACCCACAGAAAAAAAAATTAAGCTTGACATGGTTTCTAGATTCCAAACACAACCTGCATTTTTTAGCCTCATCTCCTATTATTCTCCCACACAAATTCTGGACTCTGGCCCATCAGGACTACTCAACGATTCCTTCCCAGGCATCATAATTTCCTACTTGTGAGTTTTCCTTTGCTTAGGTTATTCCCTCTTCCTGTAACATGCCATTTTTCATCTATTAAAATCCTACACATTTCTTAAGGCCAACTTACATGCCATTTCCTTTACCATGTATTCTCTGATCACTCACTGGATGGAAGCGATCCTTCCTTTCCTATTTCCTGTGTTACAAGACCAGGGACCGTGTCTCATACATCTCTGCCCTCTACACAGTTAGTCTAGGGTCTTGCTCAAGGTATGTATGAGCTGAGAAGGGTATACTGGAGGTTATGAGGACCTTTTCAAATGACACTCATTCCCAGCATTTTCTGGGCACCTCACCTCATTTCTGTCCCTCCCTCAACATGCTCCTCTGTGCCCTCCCATATCTCACCCCAAGTTCTCTCTGCTCCCCACCATGCACTCTCCATGTCTCCTCTTCTTCTTCCCACCTGCCCATAAACGCACCTTCAGTACCCACAGCTCGAAGTGGGTGCACGTTGTGCTTGTAGACAAATTTTTCCTCCAGCACCATTTGGATGGAGACAATCACCTGTGCCATGACGATCAGCAGGTCCCCTGTTGGAGAGGGAGGATCAGAGAGAGGTAAAGCAGTCGCACTGAGGGTAAGATTTCAGAGGCCACGGGAGAGGACTATTGCTATCGTCTGTCCTTCGTTCTCAAAGAGGACCATGACACCGTGACTCACAAGTGAATTGGATATGAGTGAGGGAGGGCTGTGCAGTGTCACCAGCCTTGCTTCCTCCTCCAGAGCCATCTGGGTGCAGTGGCCAGATAGTCATCAGGACAATTGCAGATGGCCCCGGATGTGGTGGGAGACCTTGGCCATTTTAAACTCAGATCTTTCCCAGGCAATGCCCATTCAGTGATTAAGGTTAGGTAAGAAATGAGACCAAAAAATGGCCTCTTTTACCTAGTTAAAAAAAAATCAATCTGGGAGGTAAAGTCCCTCATGGTTTCTGAGCAAAACAGAAGATTTCAGAGGCCATGGGAAGGGATTAGAAGAAAAGGTGAACAGATGATGGCTAAGTATGACTTCCAATGAAGAACTAGGACTGAGGACTATTTAACTAAAATTTCTTCAATTCTGCGTTCAATGCGTGGAGAGTGGTTCAGAGTCTGTCAATGTAATGAAATGTAAGAGTAATAAATGAACACAAGGTATTTCACCAGGATGGAGGCAGCCTCAAGAAGACTGTGATCCACGCCTGCCAGACACACATGCCGCTGTGACTGTGGGCAAGTCCCTGAAACGCCCCGTGCTGCAGGCAAGTCTCCAAGACTCTCAGCTGGAAAGCAGCTGCTGATGTGCACTGCTAGAGGGAGCTTCCTCCCCAGGAGTTCAGTACATCAATGCAATGACAGAGGGGGAAGAAAAAGGATGCAGGGCAAGACGGAAACTCTTCAATGAAGTGATGCAAGGCAAGCTCAGAAGGGCCTGAACAATGTGCACTGACCTCAACTATAAACGGAAAAACGAAAAAGGGAAATGAGCATGAGGCAGCTGAACTCCACAGGGACTTGGAAGGGGCCATGAGGCAAAACCAGTTGGGGTTCTGTTTGTTTGGGTCTGATATTTTGCTCCATACTTTGCATGTTTATTTGCCATAGTTCACAGTTGCTAAGTTTATACTAAAACATTTAAAACATATTAAAATATCCATAATTTTTTTCTTTTCTTTAAGAAAACCCTCAGTACCATCACTCTGAAGAGGGAAAAGGCAGGCAGGATTGGCCTCTTGGTCACAGAGCAGGGTGGGGCCGGGTAAACATCCAAGGACTCCCCTGACCACCTGCCACCTCGCTATGCCTGAGGCTCTGCTGGTGGCCTTGCGGTGCCCTGACTCAAATGTACTTCTTCTCCTCAGCTCAGTCTCTCTTAACATCAACTCCAACCTGCCCTATCTCTTGAAAGCCCCACTGTGGCCGGGTGTTGGAGGCAGCAGGATAGCTGCCTCATTAGTCTCGCTTGTGGGACTCTCTTCCTGGGAGCCAGCCAGCCCAGAAGGCTCTGTTCACTACAGTTCAACATACCTGTGATCACATCGCTGAGCTTGTGCTGATCTTCATGCCTGCTCGTGAGGTCAGCCAGACCCACAACCACCAAGCCGGCAATTGTGGCCAAGATGCCCACCCACTGGCTTGGCACCAGCTTTCGTCCCAGGAAAGCCACGGAGAGAAGACCTGTGAAGATGATCACAGCCCCACGAAGCATCTGGAAGCTGGAGGCACTGGTCATGTTCAGGGCTACAGAGAAGAGGAGAATTCAGTATAATTCAATAAACATTTCTTAAGAGTACTCTCTAGGGGAGGGACAAGTTTAGATAAGACACAGTCCCTGTTCTTGGGGAACAGGAGGTCTAGTAATAACAACAGCTGACATTTTCACAATGTTTTACGGTTTAAAAAGTACTTCACATTTGAGATGTGACACATAAATAAATACACAATCAAGGCCTAAGAGAATTCTAAGCAAAGTGTTATAGTAAGGTGTAAGTGGGGAAAACAGTTGTTACTGAATTAGGGCTGGGAAGGTGAGATAAGGGAAAGCACTGTGGAGGAGGCAACATTAAAGCTGGGTTTAAAGATCACATAGGAATATAATTGGTAGAGGAGGAGAGGCTTTAAAGGGCACAAACAATCCCATAAGCCAAGGTCTGGAGTTGGGAAAGCACAGGATATCTAAAGAAGAACAGAGACATGAAAAGTTTTTGCACAAAGCCAATGCAACTAAAAGATTAGAAGGAAGGTAGAAAATTGGGAAAGAATTTTTACAACCAGTCTCTCTGATAAGGGCCTCATTTCTAAAATATATAGAGAATTAAGACAAATTTATAAGACTACAAGCCATTCTCCAATTGATAAATGGTCAAAGGATATGAACAGACAGTTCTCAGATGAAGAAATTAAAGCCATCTACAGTCATATGAAAAAATGCTCTAAATCATTATTGATTAGAGAAATGCAAATCAAAACAACTTTGAGGTACCACATCACACCTACCAGATTGGCCAATAAGACAAAACAGGAAAATGATAAATGTTGGAGAAGATGTGGGAAAATTGGAACACTAATGCATTGTTGGTGGAGTTGTGAAATGATCCAACCATTTTGGAGAAGAACTATGCCCAAAGGGCTACAAAAATGTGCATACCCTTTGATCCAGCAATAGCACTCCTAGGGCTATATCCCAAAGAGATCAAACAAATGGGAAAAGGACCCACATGTACAAAAATATTCATAGCAGCTCTTTTTGTGGTGGCAAAGAATTGGAAATTGAGAGGATGCGCATCAATTGGGGAATGGCTGAGCAAGTTGTGTTGCTGAGTGAAATGAGCAGAACCAAGAGAACTTTGCACACAATAACAGCCACGTTGTGCGATGACCAATATTGATAAACTTAACTCTTCTCAGCAATACAAGGATCTAAGACATCCCCAGAGGCCTCGTGGTGGAAAATACCATCCACATCCAAAGAAAAAACTATGGAAGCTGAATTGCTATCATTTTTTTTTCTCTTCTGTTGTGTTTTGGTTCCTCTTTCTAATGGTTCTTCCTATTGGTTTTAATTTTTACTTACAACTTCACTAATGTGAAAATATGTTTAATAGGAATGTAAATGTATAGCCTACATGAGATTGTGTGCCCTCTTGGAGAGCGGGGTGGGGAGAAAGGGGGAGAAAATTTTTAAACTCAAAAGCATATGGAAGTGATTATTGATAAATCAAAATAAATTAATAAAATTTTAAAAATATGACAAAATATAACAATATTCTAACTGGAAGAAAGGAAATGGATGGTTCCTCAGCATTCATATAATGGGATTTGATTTGTATTGTTATAAAATAAAATAAGAATGGCATAAAAAAAAGAAGAACAGAGACAGTAATCTACTTGGGTTGGGAGATGGAAGAAGGAATGAGGGTGGGAGGAAAGGTCAGGCTGCTGCTGAAACACTCTCCCCTGCCACTCTGCCACACCTCAAACTGTGGGTCCTCGCCCAGGAGATCTGGCTACTCACCCACATACATGATGCTGGTCCCAGTCATGTCACAGAGGGCAGGGGGCAGGAAGAGCAGTGCACTGAAGGACTGTTGGGGTTCCACACCAGAGTCTGTGTGCCCCCAAATTCTGCACTGAAGTAAGTAGAAGGCTGCTAGGCAGGAAAACTCCCCCAGGAACATGCCCACTGCCTGGAAATAATACAATCATAGACTCTTAGAGCTGGGAGGAACACCAGAAGCCATCTGATCCAACCTGCTTAGGGGCAAGCACAATGGCTCCCCACAAGAAGGATGTGGTACTTTTATGGTTTGGGATGGGGATGGAGATTCTTAGGCTCCAAGGCTTGGGGAGGATTTCCCCACTCACCTCTGATGTGCAGGCCCTTCCTCAACCTAACCATTATTGGCCAAGAATAGCTAGCCAGCCCTCCTGCCCTACGCATCTCTACAGGCTATTGGAAGCAGGGCAGGGCAGAGTGGAAAAGAATAACCAGTGATCTTTTCTGAATCAGGCCTGACTCAGTCCCCAGCTTCTGGAAGCAAGAGAAAGTTCTGTGGCTGTGTATGGAAGAAGTGAACTTTCAAGCCCTGGGTGCGAAGGAAAGGGGACTGGGGGCTCAGCACCACAAAGGAGACAGAAAGCTTGAGGGGAGGTGGGGTTGGGAGAGGATACCTGGAGGAAAGGATGCTCGAAGCTGTGGGCCTGGCTTCCTCCACAGCCCTCAGTCACAAAGTTGTCAGCCCATCTGGAAGAGAGAAGAATGGCATTGAATGGTGAGGCTACCGTGCTCCCTACTGAACCCAATTCAATACGGACACATCAAGGACTTATTGGTCCACCTAGTGTTTGCCGTCAAGGACCTGACAGCTGAGGAGACAACACGCCTCCAGAATGACTCCATTTCCACAGCACTCTAAGATTGGCAAAGTGCTTTACATGCTGTTTCATTTGGTCATCACACCAATCCCGGGAGGTCTCAGCCCTACTTTTTACAGAGGCTAAATTACTATCCAGGCTCTCACAGCTACTGAGCGTCAGAGGCAGGATTCAGACTCATCTTCCTGGCTCCGAGTCCAGCGTTCTATCTATCCACAAGGCTACATGACCTGTGACAGAGTACAAAAGACGATATGAGAATATACTAGGGAGGTATCAGCAAAATGCTGAGCAATGCTGATGGCAAGTTACGGGAGGGCTTTATAGCTGAAAAACGTCTTGACTGTCCTTCTGCTTCATCCTCATGCCAGCCCTGGGAGGTAGGCAGTGCAGGGATGTTATGCCCCTCCCCCAAGGTTACACAGCTGGCAAGAGGGGAAGCTGGGGCTGGAACACAAGTCTTGTCCAGCCTTCCTGAGGGCACCAGCGTTGCTCCCTTCTCCGAAATCCCTCTGGCCCTGTAGCTATGCCACATGCTACAGCACAAAATCCAAATACTTTCCTGGCTTGCTTTTTTGGCCAATGACAGGTACTGTCTCATGAAGTATTATCTCAAAAAGAAAATGGCTGGTTACTCTTGAGAGTAAGGACTGTGTCTTCTGGTCTTGTTTGAACTACAGCACCCAGCAGAGGTGTGGGCACACAGCAGGCAATTAGAGGAGTCAAGCTTGTACTAAGGAACTGGGTTTGGCAAAGCCCACTCTCCGTTTTGTTCAGGAGATAGCGACTTCCTGGGCATTACTAGCATGTAGGTATTATTTCCCTGGTCCCTAGCTCACAGGAGACAAAGAGACTGAGAGCCAATGACTCTGGAGGTTGTGGTCAGATGAAATGATAAAGTAGATTGCTAAGAGTGCTTCTGTACCACAGAGAGTTGAGCAGGTCTTGGGGATAACAGCAGAGATAAGGGAGCTATGGCTGCAGTCAGGAAGACCTGAGTTCAAATCTTTCCTCAGACACTTACTCAGCTGTGTGATGCTGGGCAAGGCACTAAACCTTTCTGAGCCTCAGTTTCTGTTGCTGTAAAATAGGGTTAATAAAAGACCCACCTCACAGTGTTGTTTCAACTTCTCATCTTTTTTTTTTGGGAGGCAACTGGAGTTAAGTGACTTGCCCAGGGTCACACAGCTAGTAAGTATCATGTGTCTGAGACGGGATTTGAACTCAGGTCCTTCTGACTCCAAAACCAGAGCTCTATCCACTGAGCCACCTAGCAGCCCCTTCAGTGTTGTTTCAAGACTCAAATAAGATAATGTATGGCAAGTGTTTTGTAAACCTTAGAGTACTATATTATTGTTACTAGGACTGGAAAGGAACTTAGAGATCATCTAGTTCAGAACCACAGAATCAGAGAATTTGACAACTACAAGGCTGTAGCCATCTAGGTCAACCTAAGCCTGAAAGGAATCCCTGCTCTACCAAAGCTCACATGTGGCCACCTAGCCTCTGCATGACCTCTCCCGCCACACAGCACATTCCACTTCTGCCTCTTTCTGCCTTCCAGGAATTGCTGGGGAATTCTAAGGGTTCTGCCCCCAGGGGCCACAAGGAACAATCTAATGGCTCCTTTACATGGCAGTCTTTCAAATGCTTGCAGATGGCCATTATGTATGTGTCCTCTGAGTCTTCCCTTCTACAGCCTGAAAATCCTCAGTTCTTTCAATCAGTCCTTGTATGACTTGAACTCAAGGCCCTTCAGCATCCTGGGGGCTGAATATCCCTGGATATTCTTCAGTTTGTCACTGTCTTTCTTAAGCCATGGGGTTCAGACTCAAATATACTATTCCTGAGGAGGTCTGATGAGAGCACAGTACAATGGGATTATCACTTCCCTATTCCTAGAACCTATGGACCTCTTAATGAAGGTCAAGATCACATTAGCTTTGTGGGCTGCCACATCACATTGTGGTCTTGTGTTGGGCTTCTGTCCACTAAAACCTCCAGATGTTTTCTAGAACAACTGTAGTCTAACCACACCTTTCCCATTTTATACTTGTGAAGCCCACTTTTCGTTCCATGCTGAAGTTCATCTTAGTAAGTTCAGCCTAAAGCTCCAGTTGAGATGTTTCATTGGGTTTGCTCTCCCTCCAAGCTTGGTGTCATCTGCAAATCAGAGAAGCCTGTCATCGAATGCTTTTTATGCAAGGCTTTGGGACAAGCAGAGGAGCACCCCGGGCTTCTTCCCTGAAGAACTCCTAAGTCAGTGACACTGAGCCACCCAATGTGCTCTGAAGCCATCTGACACTATTCTCATTTAATCCATATCTCTTTGTATTCTCCGCAAAAACAGTAGAGACACTTTATCAAAAGTTTTGTTAAAATTCAGGTAGATCACAGTCATAGCATTTTCCTCATCTACTAAATTAAGAATATCATCAAAAAAAGGAAATGAGGTTAGTTTGGCATGACTCATACTTGATGAAACCATGCTGACTCTCTGGGATCATCACTTCCCTTCTAGATGTTCACCAATCATCCCTTTAATGACACATTCTAGGCATTTCCCAGCAATCTAAGTCAGATTCACAGGCCTCCTCCAGTCTAGTGCTACTCTCCATTTATGGGATCTTTCTAATATGACTGACAGTGGCTCAGCCAGCATGTCTGCGAGGACTGCAAATACCCAAGAATGGCCCATCTGGGCCAGGTGACTTGACGTCATCAAGGGCAGATCTTTGCTTACTATTCTCTTCCTTCTCCTGGGTATCCAACTGCCTGTTCCTCATTCTTGTCCTCTTATTTCCAGTAAAAGGCTGTTCTCCTTTGTAGAGAAAACAGAAGCAAACCAAGACCCGGGCAGGTCTGCTTTCCCTGTTGTCAGTGCTCAGCATCATCCCATCCACCCCAAGCAAAGGGCTCTCGCCTCTGATCTTTTTCCCAAGAAAGCTTAACCCCGCCTCCCCAAGACTAACCCCCTTTGTGCTGTCCTCATCTCACCTTGCCAGCCTTAGCTCCTTCCAAGCTCTAGTGACCCTAACAACACTTCTGTAGAGCTGGGCTGCACGCCTCCATCCCCTCTACATGTTTTTTAAAAATCCAAGTGAGTTGGGGCATTCCCTGTGCCTCCATGTCAGTCTCTTCAGACAAATTCCACTTTCCCTCCTCACTGGAAACTTTCCCTTTGTAGCTTTAGCATCTTCCATCATCCCTCTTGGGCTGATTTCCCTGAAGCATTTTGCTCCATGGGATCCTATTTTTTCCTCTGAAAACTGATTTCTGAAAATGGAGGGTGTATGTCAGATTATGCCCAGATTTCCTCTCCTTCTCCATCACAAATTCTATGATGGAGGGGTCACCTACCTGCTTCTTCCCCTGCCCCCATGATCCTATAGTTTCCTCCTGTTTGTCTCTTTTAGTGAGAATCAGATCTAGAACAGAATTTTTCCTTTTTGGTACTCTGCTTTTTTTTTTTTTTGGCTAGGCAATGGGATTAAGTGACTTGCCCAGGGTCACACAGCTAGTGTTATGTGTCTGAGGCCACATCTGAACTCAGGTCCTCCTGACTCCAGGGCTGGTTCTCTATCCACTGCGCCACCTAACTGCCCCTGGTACTCTCTGCCTTTTAAAGAATGAAGTTTTCAATAAGGCAAGTCAAGAAATTATTAACTGTTCTGCTTTTGGCACAGACAATTCCAGCAGATATGTGGACAATCAAAGCCTCCTGGCCCTCCTTCTCCCTCCCCCTCACTACATCTCACACCTCTGTGTCAGGTGTGTGATTTGTTTCTCAAACTAATCTGTTTCCTTTCTGCCCGGGTGCTCTGTAGTATACTCCAGTGCCAACGAAGTGAGTCCAACCTCCCCACTGCGTACAGGAGGGAACTGAGTCCCACAGAGATGACATGATTGGCTCAAGTGGCAATTAGCACAGCAGGGCCTTGAACCTAGGACTCTGTTCCACTGGTCCCGTCTCTGCTACACCATCTGGGTCCCATGCCTGACAAACCAGAGGAGCCTGCTGGCTCCTCCTACCAAGGGAGAAAAGGGAAATGGGTCTAAGCAGCAGATCAACCAGAAATGTCACTTGGGTAGGTTGTTCAGAACAAGCCCCAGCCTGTTCCCAGCTTTGCTGACAAAAAAGAAAACACAGGAAGTGTGTGGGTATAATTATTTCTCAGCCCCAAATCACTAAACAACCCCTGGAAGGGTCTTTCAAGGAGCATCAGGGGAAAGGATGAGCAGGATGGAAAAGCAGGACCCCTGCCTACCTGGTTCTCTTGCCCAGGAGCTCTCACCTGGCACCACTCCCCCCTTTTCCAGATTTGAGTATGCTGCTGGGAAAGAACAGAGGAGGGGGCTTAGGACTCAACACTTTGCTGCTGCAGTAAGCTGGGGTACTTAGAAGGATGCCTGGCTCTAAGACGGAGCTGGAAAGCCCCATAGAGCCCTGCGGGCTATTCCCTAGTACTTTCTTTCAGCACTGACATGGACTATCTCCCATGTAAGGGTCTTGCCTGGACTAGCCAGACACAGAGATGGATATGCTGGCAATATTCCTGGGGCTGGGAAATGGGATCCCTTTGTATCAGCCCCTAAGGTATAGGCTGTGGCCTCCTCAGAGATTGGGTGTCAGCAGGGCATGCTGCCCCACTGAGCAGCTTTCTAGTTACAGTTTCTAGTCACAGATGATTAGAGCCAAACTGAATGTTTCTGGGGTGTTTCTCCTTAATTATGGACACTTGGTACACTGATTACCCTACAGAGATGGGGAATGATGCAGAGATTCCACAAAGCATGATACAATAGAAAAGGCACTGGCCTTTGAATCTGGAGACATTGGTTCACGTTCCAACTTGGACACTAACTTAA